CCTAACTTAGAACTATGAGGTGTTTAAGATGGAACCTAGTGAAGATATCACCAGCATGCTTGATTGGTTCACTAACATCAATAATAAACTCAGTCAGCTAGGCAAACTAATTCCTGGACATGAGATTGTCAAAAAACTTCTTAGAAGCCTACTTAAAATTGGAAGCCAAAAGTGACTGTTATCCGTGAAGCCAAAAATTTAAATGTCATCACTCTTGATGAAATTTGTGGGTCTCTTCTCACTTCTGAGCTGGAGCTTAAAGAAGAGGAAAAGAAGATAAGAGAGAAGCAAAAGAAAAAGAAAAAAGAATTGCCTTAAAAGTAAGCATTCTTAAAGAAGAATTAGATAATTTATCCTGTGATGATGATGAAGAATTGGCTATGATAGCAAGAAGATTCAAAAAATATATGGGACAAAGAGACAGGAGATTGGCTAAGAAAGGGTACAGAAGAGATCAAGGTTCTTCATGGAAAACCAAAAATAACAATGAGTCCAACAAGAAAGAAGAGGTTATATGCTTTGAATGCAAGAAGCTTGGAAACTTCAAGTTAAAATGCCTTTTGCTGAAGGAAGAAACTCCCATGAAAATAAAAAAATTGAAGAAGGCAACAGTAGCTGCAACCTGGTCTGACAGTGATGTTTCAAGCTCAAATGTTGAAGAAGAGAAAATGGAAGAAAAAGAAAATTTATGTCTGATGGCAAAAGATGATGAATCCAAGGTATGTTCTACTCCTTGTGATATTTCTATTAACTAACTTCAAGAAGAATATGAATGTCTTTATGATGAGTTTGAAAAACTTGCATCAAAATACAAGACTTTGAAAAGAAAGACTTCATCTCTTGAGAATAATTTAAAAAAGATAAACATGATTTCTGCTATATTTTTGAACAAAAAAAAATTCTTCAACTTGAACTTGAACATTCAAAAATAGATTATGAAATTTTGAAATTGGAATTGGAAAACAGAACTGAAGCTTTGCAAAAAGCTATTGATGAAAATATTGCTCTTAAGAGTTTAAAGAAAGAAACATCAAGAAAAAACACGTACTTTAAGAAAATTCTGATAATATCTCTTCTAGATGTTATATTTGTGATAAACTTGGCCATTTATCTTATAACTATTATAGAAAAAGAAGTATGCAGAAAACAAAAAAGATTTGGGTTCCAAAAGGATCTTATGTAGCAGCTAACCTTCAATGACCCATCAAGGTATGGGTACTTGTTCAGAAAAATTAAAAATTTGTCTTACAGGTTGAGCCTAACCAAGAAGACACATGTTCAAAAACTCAACTGAATCAAAAGCAACCATGGTACATGCATAGTGGCTGCTCAAAACACATGACTAGAAATGAAATGTTGTTTGCTCAGGCAAACAAGAGAAAAGGAGGTACTATATCATTTGAAGATAACTCAAAATGTAAAATTCATGGTGTAGGAACTATTTGTAAGAATTCTCTAGGTCAAATTAGTCATGTGTTACTTATTAAAGGTTTAAAACACAATTTATTAAGTATTAGTCAAATGTGTGGTAAAGGCTTCAAGGTATATTTTGATTCATATAAATGTGAAGTGATAGACATTAGTACCAACAAAATTTCATTCATAGGAAAAAGAATCAAGAATATGTATGTTATATTTCCTGAAGATCTTGAGTCTAATTGTGAAACATGTCTTATGGTAAATGATGGAAATGATAGCTGGTTATGGCATAAGAGACTTGGACATATGAGCATGCATACCATCTCAAAATTAATGAGAAAAAATCTGGTTATAGGATTGCTTGAACTTAAATTTGAGAATGATCAGATTTGTGATAGTTGATGATGGTAAATGATAGAAATGCTTGTCAACTAGGTAAACAAGTTATAACATCCTTTAAAACTAAAAAGATTATTTTAACCTTTGGACTTCTTGAATTGTTTTATATTGATTTATTTGGTCCAATCAACACAACTAGCTTAGGAGGCAAATCATATGGCTTTGTGATAGTTGATGACTACTGTAGGTACACTTGGGTCCACTTCTTTGCTCATAAAAATGATGCTTTATCTGCATTTGTAAATCATTATAAGAGGGTTCAAAATGAAAATGGACTTGTCATAGTTACCATTAGAAATGATCATGGAGGTAAGTTTAATGGAGATGATTTTGAAAATTTTTGTAATGAAAAGGGGTTGGATCATAATTTTTCTGCACCTAGAACACCTTAACAAAATAGAGTTGTAGAATGAAAAAATCAAACCTTAAAAGAAATGGCTCAAACTATGCTTTGTGAAAACAAACTACCAAAATACTTTTAGGCAGAAGTTGTCAACACAAC